ACATCGCATACTAACACTGCCATCATCACATCACACACCAACACTGCCATTATCACATCACACACTAACACTACCATCATCACATCACACACCCACACTGCCATCATCACACCACACACTAACAATGCCATCATCACACCACACCAACACGCCATAATCACACCACACACCAACACTGCCATCATCACATCACACCCCAACACTGCCATCATTACACCACACACCAACACGCCATCATCACACCACACACCAACACTGCCATCATCATATCACACACACCAACACTGCCATCATCACACCACACACCAACACTGCCATCAACATCACACCACACACAACACTGCCATCATCACACCACACACTAACACTGCCATCATCACACCACACACTAACACTGCCATCATCACATCACACACTAGCACTTCCATCATCACATCACATACCCATACTGCCATCATCACACCACACACTAACACTGCCATCATCACATCACACACTAACACTGCTATCATCACATCACATACCCATACTGCCATCATCACACCACACACTAACACTGCCATCATCACACCACACACTAGCACTGCCAACATCACACCACACACTAACACTGACATCATCACATCACACACCCACCCTGCCATCATCACATCACACACTAACACTGCCATCATCACATCACACACTAACACTGCCATCATTACACCACACACTAACACTGCCATCATCACACCACACACTAACACTGTCATCATCAAACCACACACTAACACTGCCATCATCACATCACACACTACCACTGCCATCATCACACCACACACTAACACTGCCATCATCACATCACACACTAACACTGACATCATCACATCACACACCCACACTGCCATCATCACACCACAAACTAACACTGCCATCATCACATCACACACCCACACTGCCATCATCACACCACAAACTAACACTGCCATCATCACATCACACACCCACACTACCATCATCACACCACAAACTAACACTGCCATCATCAAATCACACACCCACAGTGCCATCATTACATCACACACTAACACTGCCATCATCACACCACACACTAGCACTGCCATCATCATACCACACACTAACACTGACATCATCACATCACACACCCACACTGCCATCATCACACCACACACAAACACTGCCATCATCACATCACACACTAACACTGCCATCATCACACCACACACTAACACTGCCATCATCAAACCACACACTAGCACTGCCATCATCATACCACACACTAACACTGACATCATCACATCACACACCCACACTGCCATCATCACACCACACACTAACACTGCCATCATCACATCACACACTAACACTGCCATCATTACACCACACACTAACACTGCCATCATCACATCACACACTCACACTGTCATCATCACATCACACGCTAACACTGCCATCATTACACCACACACTAACACTGCCATCATTACATCACACACTAATACTGCCATCATCACATCACACATTCACACTGCCATCATCACATCACACACTAACACTGACATCATCACATCACACACCCACACTGCCATCATCACATCACACACTAACACTGCCATCATCACATCACACACCCACACTGCCATCATCACATCACACACTAACACTGCCATCATTACACCACACACTAACACTGCCATCATCACATCACACACTAACACTGCCATCATCACATCACACACTAACACGGCCATCATTACACCACACACTAACACTGCCATCATCAAACCACACACTAACACTGCCATCATCACATCACACACTAACACTGCCATCATTACACCACACACTAACACTGCCATCATTACACCACACACTAACACTGCCATCATTACATCACATACTAACACTGCCATCATCACATCACACACCCACATTGCCATCATCACATCACACACTAACACTGCCATCATCACACAGCACACTAACACTGCCATCATCACACCACACACTAACACTGCCATCATCACATCGCACACACACCAACACTGTCATCACATCACACACCAACACTGCCATCATCACATCACACACCACCACTCATCTCACACACCAACACTGACATCATCACATCACACACCCACACCGCCATCATCACACCACACACCAACACCGCCATCATCACATCACACACCAACACATCATCACATCACACACACCAACACCGCCATCACATCTCGCACACCAACACTGACATCACACCACACACCCACACTGCCACTCACACCACACACCAACACTGCCATCATCACACACACCAACACTGCCATAATCACCACATAACACACCATCATCATCACCTCACTACCATCATTACACCACCACACGCATCATCACACCACACACTAACACTGCCATCATCATCACACACACTAACACTGCCATCTCACCCCTGCCATCAACATCACACACACTAACACTGCATCATCACACCACACACTAACACTGCCATCATCACACCACACACCAACACTGCCATCATCACATCACACTAGCACTCCGCATCATCACATCACATACCCATACTGCCATCATCACACCAACCTGCCCATCATCATCACACACCAACACTGCTATCATCATCACACACCCCTGCCATCATCACCACACACTAACACTGCCATCATCACACCACACTAGCACTGCCAACATCACCACACACTAACACTGACATCATCACATCACACACCCACACCATCATCATCACACCCCACTGCCATCATCACATCACACACTAACACTGCCATCATTACACCACACACTAACACTGCCATCATCACACCACACACCCAACACTATCATCATCAAACCACACTAACACTGCCATCATCATCACACTACCACTGCCATCATCACCACACACTACACTGCCATCATCACATCACCACTAACACTGACATCATCATCCACACACCACACTGCCATCATCACCACAAACTAACACTGCCATCATCATCACACACCCACACTGCCATCATCACACAAACTAACACTGCCATCATCACATCACACACCACACTACCATCATCACCACAAACTAACACTGCCATCATCAATCCACACACCCACAGTGCCATCATTACATCACACACTAACACTGCCATCATCACACCACACACCAACGCACCATCATCATACCACACACTAACACTGACATCATCACATCACACACACCCTGCTGCCATCATCACACCACACACACAAACACTGCCATCATCATCACACACTAACACCATCATCACACACACTAACACTGCCATCATCAAACCACACTAGCACTGCCATCATCATACCACACACTAGCGACATCATCACATCACACACACCACCGCCATCACACCACACTAACACTGCCATCATCACATCACACACTAACACTGCCATCATTACACCCACACACTAACGCCATCATCACATCCACACACTCACACTGTCATCATCATCACACTACACTGCCATCATTACACCACACACTAACACTGCCATCATTACACACACAACAATACGCCATCACACATCCACACATCACACCACACACCCACCAACTCAACACCGCCACATCACACACCCACCATCACACCACACTAACACTCATCACACCACCGCCATCATCACATCACACACCAACGCCATCATCACACACCACCAACACTGCCATCATCAACCACACACTAACACTGCACCATCATACCACACACACTAACACTGCCATCATCACATCACACACACCAACACTGCCATCATTACACACACACCAACACTGCCATCATCACATCACACACCAACACTGCCATCATCACATCACACACCACATTGCCATCATCACATCACACAAACACTGCCATCATCACACAGCACACTACACACTGCCATCATCACACCACACATCAACATCATCACACCAACACCGTCATCACATCACACACTAACACTGCCATCATCACATCACACCAACACTGCCATCACATTCCACACTCAACACTGCCACATCACTACATCACAACACCCACACTGCCATCATCACACCACACACAACACCGCCATCAACATCACATACCAACACTGCCATCATCACATCACACACCAACACTGCCATCATTCCCGCACACCAACACTGACATCATCACATCACACACCCACACCGCCATCATCACACCACACACCAACATCGCATCATCACATCACACAACACTGCCACCATTACACCACACACTCAACACTGACATCATCACATCACACACCCATGACAGTGACCAACCACACACTAATACTGCCATCATCACATCACACACACCAGCGCACACCACTCCATCATACCCCCACACCCACCACTGCCATTACACACCGCCACCATCACATCACACACCCACACCATCATCACTATCACATTGCCATCATCACACAACACACCTAACACCGCCCACACACCAACACCACATCATCACAACAACACCAACACGCCATCATCACATCACACACACAAACACTGACATCATCAAGAATCACACCCAAGTGCCATCATCACACCACACACCAACACTGCCATCATCACACTCACACACTCAACACTGCCATCATCACATCACACACCCACACTGCCATTGTCACATCACACACTAACACCATCATCACATCACACCAACATCACACATCATCACACCACACTAACACTACCATCATACACCACACACTAACACTGCCATCATCACACAACATACCAACACTGCCATCATCACCCAACACACTAACACTGCCATCATCACACCACACACTAACACTGCCATTATCACATCACACACACTAATACTCGCTTACATCACACACCCACACTGCCATCATCACATCACACACTAACACTGCCGTCATCACACAACACACTAACACTGCCATCATCACATCACACACCCACACTGCCATCATCACACAACACACTAACACTGCCATCATTACATTACACACCCACACTGCCATCATCTCATCACACACTAACACTGCCATAATCACATCACGCAACCACACTGTCATCATTACAATATTAAGTGTGAAGTGGAACTGACACTACTGAAGTCACCATCGTTAAACACGTTGGGCGTTTGTCTTTACCGTATAACTTGGACAATAATCACACTAACACTCTCTATAAGATAACTAAATGCTAAAATGCTAAGGAGGTAAAAGAGAGGTTAATCATTTTTTTACATATTGTTAAATATAGAGCAAATCAGTACTGTGTGTTGTCTCGTCAGTGTGCTTGTAGCAGGTGGGAGATGTCACGCATTTTCGTTCATGAGGTGAAATCGTTCTGGGAGTGGCGGTGGCGCCGACATCTCTAGGTCTGGGTGAATGGGTCTGTTTGTTAGTCGTGATGCCAACTCTTCCATCAAAAAGCTAAAAGACACGAGCTCTACATTTTTGCTTAAAAGATAAAGCAAGAAGAAATCTCCCACTTGAGTTTTTTGAGATAACGTCAAGGCCGTTCTTAAATCGTAGCCCTGCTCGCTTCTGTAGAAGACCAGAGCGAATCGCCGGGACACAGAACACTAAAAGACGGTAGACAAGTGCTAAGGTACTAATGCCACCGGATGACAAACCAGAACCACAGGAAGACGTATATCTTCTCATTAATGATGTTGAGAGCGAGAACACACATTAGGTCGTGAGTCTCGATGGATCCAGAAGGACCGTACATGTTAAAGTTGCACTTGGTTACTCGGGGAAAGACGACGATCATAGGGTCCGTCCGCTCTTCCTGGTTGGTCTCTGTGAAATACAATACATCAATACCATATTTGAAGAACATACCCCCTAAGAACTTGTTCAGGAACCACATGTTGAACAGCGAATTCCCCAAGTTTAGTAACTCGCAGAGGAAGAACTTGATGGCGTAAAAGTTATGATAGTGGATAGAGGAGTACAGGTAGTCTGCCAGTAGGTGGATTTTCTCGTGACGTTCATCCTTGCTCATGACAGGCATAGAGAGACCCATCACGATGGAGTCCAGCTTGCCGCCTTCCCAGGTCTTCCATAACCAGTGAGGAGTATAGAACAGAAGTCCCTGTGGGAGAGGTTAAGACGTCAGTTATGGTGAAACAAGACAAATTATAATTTGTCTTATTGGAGTAACTCTTCTCCTAAAAAAGTGTTTAAAATTTTCAATAATATCTTCATGAACAAGATATTCTATAATTATAAAATGTTCACAAGTCTAATCATATTGTCCCCCCCAACTTGGGGAAGATACATTATAAAAAGAAGGGTATAAAAAAGGTAAAAAAATTGTGTCCCAAATGATAATCCTTTTTTAAGGATATATGATTACCAATGAACTCTCATAGATAGAGAGGGTATATTATCATTCGCAAAACCCTTACTGTACAAAATGGGATATAAATATCAGTTCGTTTATAACTCTTAGGTTACAAAAGGGTGTACCATTATGAAAATTACTGTGCAGTGATCCTCCTCACGACGTTTGTACGCCACTTAGCCCCTTCCACTGTGCAGTAACACACACCTTAGCCAAGACAGTCCTGATACATGTTTCAGTTATACCGTGGGTGCTGTAAAAAGCTAGCAAACACTATAGGTGGTATTACCATTACAATCAGCATTGCAATCCAACTTTGCAATAGTCATTTTCCACAACGATGGGTCATGACTTCTCTTTCTAGCATACGCCCACGCCCTTAACTATCACTGTCACTCTACAACGAATATTTTAAAATATTCTCTTTTACACAAAAATAGCTCCAAAAAAGAAGGAACTCGAGTTTTCCTTCAATAGTGAGCTCTTCATCGCTCAGAGTAGTGCTATTTGACTGTGAAAAGGAAGTGAGAGTGTAACCCAGCGTTCATTGGCTCACTCGGCATATTCGAAACTGAAGGTGTTTTAAATATATTAAGTTGTCCCATATCTCCTCCTCATGTACAGTAGAATCATTGAGGTTCAACATGATCATTAAGATTGGATGTTCCATTTCATTAATTACCAATATCATACTGTTACGACCCTCCTTTCACCAATTACCCAGCTTCCACCACTGGTTACCAGCGGTCAGAGTCGTATGTACAGGCGATATCTAACAAGTGTCGTCGAATTACCACTGGCTGTCCCGCCAGTCTCCGGTAATTTCCCGACGATCGGTATCAGTGCACAGACAACCAACAGGCAGGTAGCGTTCCACCAGGTCACAGAAACACACTTCTGCCCTCCAGTCTACTTTAATAGTCACTGATTCTTCACAACACTGTACACACGGTAACGGCTTCACAGCTGATTCTTTTCACTTCGAATATATAGTCAGCACACTACCAGTGTACAATTCTGTCTTTCACTTTATATTGATCACAACAATTCCACAATACTTGCACAACAATTATCTTCAGTTGTCTTATTTGGCTTGTTCTTTACCCTTGGAGCGGAAACGGTCGACTCAAGGCCGCTCGCTGTCATTTATATATGCTTGACAGACGCCTAGAGCATTCTAGGGATGTCCAGACACTGGAGGTCTGCTTAAGACGTGCCTGGAGAATTCTAGAATGATCTAGGCTTACAATAAGAAGTAAATCATAAAAAAAATGATGCAGTACATTTCAGAAAATTCTTACATAAGTAATACATCAATATACACGAAATCTTCCTCAATTTGCCAAAATAACTGCTGCTTGGAATAGAAAACAATCAAAACACCTAGTTTACAAACATTATAATACAAAGTAAATTCGGAGCAGTGGTGAGATGGAAGTATCTGGCAACTTTAAGGAGCAGTTATGCCATAAGTCGCAATAAAACTTACTTATATTAAAAAAATATTATTTAGGTCATTTAATGTTAATACGATGGCTGTTGATGTTTCGGTACACAGTCAGTGTTATGTTCCAAGCATTCCATAAAGAATGAATTGAAGATATCTAGAGACAATGAAAAAACATAAAGCATATTATCTACTGCCATATTACCCAACCATGGCCGAAAAAGAGTATTATGGGCTGCAATATACCATATAATGTCCCCAAAATGGGTATTTTACATATCAAGGGGTATTTTGTAATAAATAAGATATTATTTCAAAATGGGGCATTTTAGGCAAAAAATTAATAATGTAGTAACTACACAACCCATCTGAGTCTTTATAATACTCATATCCACACATGAGATTGATGAGATTGTGACAAAATCTAATTTTGTTTTTCTCTGCTTGATTATCGCGTTCCCGGAACACACACACACACACACACACAAGACTTATCCAGCAGAGAGACAACGCCGTTTATCTCAATGATCACAACCGCTACAAGTCCCTTCGCAACCAAGTCATCCGTGAAATACGCACTGCAAAGAAGTCTCACTACCCAACCAAGTTGCAACAACCTGAAGCAGACCAACAACAGCAAGTGGTATGGGAAGCTTAAAGAACTCTGTGGACTAAACAATAAGACACATCCCCTCCCCTTCCTTAGCTATCTCACTAATGTTTATGCAGCTGAGCAATCAAACAACCATTTCGCAACTATATGCCAGACGCTCCCCGGGCTTGACACAACCAGTCTCCCTGCTTTCCGACTAGCCCCCTTTCCCACTGACTTAGTAGAAGAATTTGAAGGAGCAAAACGTCTGGACAAACTGAAGTTAAGGCGCTCCACCACCCCCCATTGACTTACCAATGAAACTCTTCAAGGAGCTCACCCCGGAACTAGCTAAACCCCTCTGCTCCATCATCGGCTCTTCCCTCAGCCAAGCAGGATGCCCAGCTGACTGGAAGATAACGTGCGTCACCAGTGCCCAAGTCAACCAGCCCACAATCCTTAAATGAGCAATCACCCCAATACCCAGCTTAATCCGTGAAAGTTTCGTGTTTGACTGGGCTTAAACAGATATTGCAGGCGCCATAGATCCTCAGTAATTTGGCAATATGAAACTTCTCCACCACTCACTGCCTTGTCAGCTTTCTCAACTACATATACCGCCATCTGTGAAAACGAAAAACGTCTATGGCCTTCATTGACTTCACCAAAGCATTTGACCTAGTCGACCACAATTTAATCAACAAAGCTATCGACCTCGGGTTTCGAAGAAGTCTTATATCATGGCTTACAGACTTCCTCAGTGACCGACGCCAAGCCGTGCGGCTGGGCTTCTCCCTACTCAATCACTCACCTGTGGCGTCCCCCAAGGCACCAGGATGGGACCGCTCTGCTTCCTTACGCTTATCAATGATGCCCTAAGCTGGAAATATATCGACGACTCCACTATTGGGATCAGTGTCAACAACTCAGCCCCCGACTATACCGCCTTCCAGGATTTATTGAATAGTCTCCAAAATTGGGCCACTAACAACCACGTCACCATCAACCATACCAAGACCATGGTTATGCACATCAACCTCTCCTACGGCGTTGTCCCACCCCTTCCCATTACTTTAGGCCCCAACACACTCCAGGTTGTAGACTCCACTAGGCTCCTCGGCGTCACTATAGATAACAAACTAAATTGGAAAACACACGTCACTGAAGTTGTCAAATCCTCCAGTTTCCGTCTCCACCGCCTCTGCCCACTCAAGTCCCTCGGAGTTCCAGCACCCGAGCTCCTCAGTGTTTACTCAACATTCATACTTCCCAAGCTCACCTATGCCTCCCCTGCCTGGTCTTCCTCCCTAAATGCTCTCTCTGACCATCACCACGACCTCATCTGCAAATTTGGTAGGCAGCTTCTGCACCATCCTCGGCACCGGCTCCTACTACCCCCCTAGATCCCTCGTCCAAAAATTGCTGTTCGACACCACAACCCCACTCAGCCCATAAGAGCACATACTCATCGCTATAAGAACAGCCCAGTACCAACCATTGTAAAAATTATCAATAACTTATAATCAACCAGTGTATTTACTCCCAGTCAATCTTACTTTTTTGTACTGTCACTATGTTGAAATGGCCTATGTTAGAGATTGTGTCATAGGAGGAAAGATCTGGCTAAACTAATGGCCCAACACTTTTTGGTAAGATTTTGGTGTATATAAACGAAAATATTTTCAGTTTCAATATTTTGCAACCTTTTGCTAGGTAAATTCTAGCGTGAAATTTATCGAAAATCTAGCGTGCAGCTGCATTAGTCATTACAATTAAATAGTGAACATTGCTTTCTGACCATTCTTTAACAACCCAACTAACAATATTTTTTCTGTTTCAGATTCTGATGCATTTATAAGTTGATAATATTTGCGATGGCTGCTTGTGTCAGGACGGAACCAAAAATCAGCAATCTCAGTCACTTATCTTCTTGGGTCTGGGAGAGAGCTTTCCTGAAATTCGGGAGTTGCCTACATTGAGAGATGCTTTGAATCTGATGTTTTAATCAGACCGTCGGTGAAAGAACCAAAGAACTTACACAAACAAAGACATTGCCAGTGATATGACCAAAGCTGTCTTGGCACGAAAGTACACTCTGGCTAACGCTCAGTTCAAGCCTCCAGTCACTAACAAGTCAGAAGAAGATTGGTGAGAGACTGCTACCCAGTTGGGAAAAAGGCAAAGAGATATCTCTCTTGCGAGGAGGAAAAACTTTGCAGTTAAGGACAGCTTGCCAAGCAACTGGACCAGTTATTTGACATAATTACTTGCAAAGTGCTTAATTGTTCTCTGTCCTGGTTTGGATGCGATCGACTGTAAATCCGAGGCCCACATCTCCTGTATTTGCAAGCGTGAACCAGAAGATTCCTGTGATCAAACTGGCATTTATTGTCAAGCACAGAAGACTGGCAGTATAGGGGCTCTCATGATTTCTAGCCAAGATATTCCGGGTCAAAAGAGACAGGAGGCTGCCACAGAGACAGAGGAGAAAAGTTGCCGAGGAAAGAGGCTTCAAAGGCCCAGAATTGAGAGTAAAAAGGCCGATGATTGGAGTCAAGCTGATTTAGAGTTTAATGACTTCCCCATGGCAGTCGAGAGTGCTGACCAGGAGAATGGTGACTTTGTCCTTAACCCAGAAAATAATGATCCCCAAACCTTCCAGGCATAAGATTCAGGAAATAGGAAAGATATGTATCGAGCATAACCTGGCCAGCATGCGACACCACACTGGTCTCCCTGAAACTGCAGAATAGCAACAGCTGCCTGGATTGACAGTGGTTTATTAGCACCTGATGATGTTCTTCTGGTGATAGATCATAACAAAGTAGAGGAGAGCTCAGGAGAAACTAGTCAGTAACCTAGAAAGAGGAGTTTGATGAGGGATAAGAAAAATGGAATCAATTGTTTGTTCAACTTTGATGGGGAGAAAGGGATGAAGCACTAAAGTGTTCATGAAAGTTGGAGGTCCTGACAAGTTGTTCCCTGCCATGGTGAAGAGAACACTACTCCTGCTGCAGTGAACCAGGAGGGGAAATATTTGTGGCATTTCACTCAGAAAGATGACATCAAAACCAGCTGAGATAGTGGCAGATAACATTGTGAGCTGGCTCAGAGAGAGGAGCGTGGAATGACCAGGCCTGAGCCATTGGAGGACAGCACCAACACTGAACACAGGGTGGCAAGGGGGGTCATACAGTGGATAGAGCGGAAGATTGGGGAGGGAAGCTGGTCTCCTGGATTGTTTGTGACCTCCCTGTGAGTTGCCACTCAGACATCTGATCCAGGAGCTGGATGGCAAGACTCTTTCGAAACAACAGATGGTCTGGTTCTCTTGGCAAGATGGACTCTGCCACTGAGTTAGAAATAAATCCGAGAGCTTTAGAAAAAAAATCGCAAGTTGGCCTCCACTCGTTGAGCTTGCATACTGTCATTGACGACCTGAGTACTGACCAACTATGGTTACATGATTTGCAGTGCCATCAAAACTGGGGTCATGTCTGATAGACTTGCTTACCTGCAGATAGGTCCACTGGTCCAGTCTCACATTCTAGGTGGCTCTAGCGGCTCTCAGTTTCTGCAGAATTTGGGTCGCTCATCGCCAACTGAA